AATTTGGGAAGAGGAGACACGATTATTCAAGCCTTGCAGCTCGTTTTTATAATCGTTGGCAATTCGTAACTATAAAAACAAACCGCAAAGCTCGAATAATCGCATCTCCTCTTCCCAAATTGTCCATTTTCGTGGACAATCTGAACGTCAATTAGAGAGACATTACTGCGATTCCAATTCAAACAGGGGTCACTGTTTGAATTGACGATGGTAATAATATAAAATTTTAGTTTGTTTTAAATTATATATATTCCTATCAATTTGGTCACCGGCGGCCCCCATGGCGTCACCGCCAAGTTAAGTGCCGGTCACCGGTGACCACCGTGGCATTCAACGTGTTAAGTTATTATCTCTTCTGAAGTATCATCTACAGTAATGTCTCCCTAACTGACGCTCAGATTGTGCAGAAAAATGGACAATTCGGGAAGAGGAGATACGATTAGATTCGAGCCTTGCAGCTCGTTTTTATAATCGCTGTCTCTTATACACATCTAGATGTGTATAAGAGACAGCGCTCAGATTGTCCACAAAAATGGACAATTCGGGAAGAGGAGATACGATTAGATTCGAGCCTTGCAGCTCGTTTTTATAATCGCTGTCTCTTATACACATCTAGATGTGTATAAGAGACAGCGCTCAGATTGTCCACAAAAATGGACAATTCGGGAAGAGGAGATACGATTAGATTCGAGCCTTGCAGCTCGTTTTTATAATCGCTGTCTCTTATACACATCTAGATGTGTATAAGAGACAGCGCTCAGATTGTCCACAAAAATGGACAATTCGGGAAGAGGAGATACGATTAGATTCGAGCCTTGCAGCTCGTTTTTATAATCGCTGTCTCTTATACACATCTAGATGTGTATAAGAGACAGCGCTCAGATTGTCCACAAAAATGGACAATTCGGGAAGAGGAGATACGATTAGATTCGAGCCTTGCAGCTCGTTTTTATAATCGCTGTCTCTTATACACATCTAGATGTGTATAAGAGACAGCGCTCAGATTGTCCACAAAAATGGACAATTCGGGAAGAGGAGATACGATTAGATTCGAGCCTTGCAGCTCGTTTTTATAATCGCTGTCTCTTATACACATCTAGATGTGTATAAGAGACAGCGCTCAGATTGTCCACAAAAATGGACAATTCGGGAAGAGGAGATACGATTAGATTCGAGCCTTGCAGCTCGTTTTTATAATCGCTGTCTCTTATACACATCTAGATGTGTATAAGAGACAGCGCTCAGATTGTCCACAAAAATGGACAATTCGGGAAGAGGAGATACGATTAGATTCGAGCCTTGCAGCTCGTTTTTATAATCGCTGTCTCTTATACACATCTAGATGTGTATAAGAGACAGCGCTCAGATTGTCCACAAAAATGGACAATTCGGGAAGAGGAGATACGATTAGATTCGAGCCTTGCAGCTCGTTTTTATAGTTGCTGAGAATCGGTAATTATAAAAACGAGGCGCAAGACTCAAGTTAATCGTATCTCCTTTTCCCTAATTGTCCATTTTTGTGGACAATCTGAGCGTCAGTTAGGGAGACATTACTGTAAATGCTTCGTCGGCAGTCACTGAGGCAAATCTCGGACCTTTCGCAGTGGTAGATTTCGAAGACAGAGGTTACAGTCGCGTGACGCGAAGGGGTTGCGTCGGTGCAAGAAGCGACCGATCTCGAAATATTTTATCTAGCGGCCGTACGGGGATGGATAAGTGAATCGTTCTCGTAAAAATCAGCGGGTCGGTGCGGCGGTGCAGGTCGTCGTCGCATGCACGCCGTATAAAATAGTAAAGGAATCGACTCGTTTTCCGTGGAGAGGCGTCTCCGCGGATGGAAAGGGTGCGGACCGCGCGCCACGTCCTCATGACTAATTCAATCGGGTCACCGGTTGTTTATTGGATTGCAAGTAGTCGGGCGGGCCCGTCTTATTGATTGAAATTCATCCAAACAAGGCGACTAAAAATAAACGATCGTCCGGCCAGGTAAACGGCGGCGAATCGGTGCCGCGAACGTTCACCGCCGAGAGCAGCGACTCGCATTAACGAGTTTCCGCGCCGGTTAGGCTCGCGCCGCGCACGGAACCGTGCAAAAAAAAACGACGTTCCTCGCGATCGTTTCGGCAAAACGCGATTTCGTTTCTATCGATTTTCCTTAGGGTTTTTTTTGCCCGGGTTGCGATGTTTTCCTTCGATCCGGCGAACGGAGCCGCGATTTCTGCGAATGATCGCTTAACCGGTGCGATTCAGGCGAATTGGAGCCTTTAAGGGGCTGATGGAAGCGAGAATGGAAACTGCGAACATATTTCGTAGACCGAGAACATTAAATTTGTGTAGAAGTTTGTTGAACATTTTTATTTTATTGCGACGAACGTTCTTATTTTAGACTTTGTCGGACATTTGTATTTGATCTTTGTACAGCCGTTCGTATAGTAATGCATGCAGTTGATGTGTACAGTTGATATACGTATACAATTGATGAATGTAGAGTTAATGTATATAATTGATGCAGACACAGTTGATACGTACAATTGGTGCGTACACAGAGCCAATGCACAAAGTACATACGTTGTAGTAGTTTGTATACAGTTGATTTGTATACAGGTATTTATTTATTTACTTATTTAGTTATTTATTTATTCAGCATAGTAAAATAAGTACAGTAAAATAAGAATAATAACAACAATTTTATACAGCTACCGGTGATAAATCCGGTGAATTCGTACCGCATCTGAAACATCGGATATGAAACATACGGATTGTTGAAGTCCGCCGGACGTTTGCGATAAACAGCACTCGAAAATTCGGAATATCTCGGAACACTGGCGCACAGTTGTAAGACATAAGAGGTTGTTTTGCTAAATATAGCGCGGCCTTCTTCGCCAAGAAATGCTAAAGTCACGGGTAATAGGCGGACTATAGGGATGTTTGCACAAATATAGGCTTCCGCTGATTGGTTTACAAAACCAGCAATCAAGCAGGACACGTGCGCGCGCGCTCTAACTACTACGGGTTCTGCCGAGTTTTAAATCAAATAGAAGACCGATTAAACCTTAGTACATTTTGTAATGCCTTCTATTTAATAATGACGGATGTTCAAGGGTATCGAACGTACGAAATACATACTTCCTTTTAATCGTGTCCGCTGCAAGAGAAAACGTTGCGAAACCTGTTTACCGGTTTCTCGTCCTTGAATTGCTCTACAAAATCTTTCTTTTCGTATTCTTCGTTCGATGCAACGTACCGTGCAGCATACCGTGCGTTTAAGCGTGTAACCTTGTTTCGTTCTTGAAATCAGGATTCTGTTTTCTTGAGTCAGAATTCTGTTTATGCTACACTGTCCCGAGGACAGTGACTTCTATTCGATACTGGAAGATGCTCGAGAATGTTGAATACAGTAATGTCTCTCTAATTGACGCTCAGATTGTCCACGATAATGGACAATTTGGGAAGAGGAGATGCGATTATTCGAGCTTTGCGGTTCGTTTTCATAGTTACGAATTGTCGACGATTATAAAAACGAGCTGTAAAGCTCGAATAATCGTGTCTCCTCTTCCCAAATTGTCCATTTCTCTTTACAATCTGAGCGTCAGTAAGGGAGACATTATTGTACAGCGATACAGTAATGTCTCCCTAACTGACGCTCAGATTGTCCACAAAACTGGACAATTTGGAGAGAAGGAGATACGATTATTCGAGCCTTGCGATTCGTTTGTATGGTTACGAATTTGCAATAATTATAAAACCAAGCCGCAAGACTCGAATAATCGTATCTGCTCTTCCCAAATCGTCCATTTTTCTGGACAATCCGAGCGTCAATTAGAGAGACATTGCTGTACTTTATTTTATCAGGAAGCAATGCAAGATCGATGTAACCAGTTTTCTTTCGCTTCCGAGGAAGCTTACCAAGCTTGATTTGGTATTCTAATAACCTTTCTTCGTAGGTTAAATTAACACAGCTATGTACGACAGAGGTATTAATAGCTTTTCAAAAAATTTAATCTTTTTTAATTTCGTTATATATTCGAAAGAATCCCTCTGCGAAATTTTAAAAATCCTCGTTGTATACTTGTTATCGAAACCTTATTGTTAGTTTTGCAAATATTAAATGTTCTTTCAATTTAAAAAAATTAAATTTTTTAAGAAGGCAACAATACCTCTCCCACGCATAGCGTGTTAAGTTAAAACCGCGTTGAATTAGAATATTTGCGAAGCAACGAAGTGAATGATAAATCTATGAAAAATATATCCTAACCAGAAACCCAACTAAACAGCTACGTTTGTCGCAAGAGAATCTCTGTACGTTGTAGAATGTTTAAGGGAAGTAATGTTACTCTTGGGAACGGTTTTAGAAAATGTTCTCATAGAACGGATATCTTAGAATCCGATCTATAGCAATTCTATGGAATCGAGTCGCGTCAGAATGTTTATGAAACAGTGATCGTTAAATCGCGATTAATAATAACCATTCTATTATAATTAAAACTAACATTCGGAATATCAATTTAGCCGTGCTAATTATTAAATATCGTTGTACCATTAATTGAACAGCATTCACGTCTGGCAACAAAGTGAACCTGCATTACCTGTATTCGATCTAGAGAACCTCTTCTCCATTCGTTCACAGCGAACCTCGCCCCGTGAGAACATTTTTTAAAACAGAGTCCCGTGTCTCGAACGGAACCTATTGAAAAGTCCTATCGAAAACTCAGAACCCCGCCGAATCCCGAGCACTCGTTACTTTCTGACGAAAAAAAGATCATCCTCTTAATAGACGATCCGCCGGATCTCCCGGCTCGAATCGCTCGATCTTCCCGTCGCGATCTTCCCTCGATCGCGTCGCAATCAGCATATAGCGTGTTGGCCCCCATAAATCGATCCTTCGAAACTCGGAACAAACGAACGAACCAGAACCAGAACGAAAAGAGGACGCGGTTCGCGCGCGAGAGTCCTCTCGGAGGAATCATGTCTCTAGACGAAGGTGAACGATTGCTCCCCAGAATTCTCGAAGACCTCACTGGAACCGACAAACGCTAATTCCCTCCATCCGCCAAGGACACAGACCTCGCTCGAAGAGTCCTGTTGAAGAGAAACGAGAAAGATGGCGACGGATCGCGAGCCCGAAGAGTCCAGAATCCGTCAGACGAGGTCCGAGGAGCCAGCCGGCGAGGACGAGAACGAGAACGGAAGAACGGTTTGAAGAAGGACAAAGAGAGCAGCGACCTTGCGAGGACCCAGTGGAGAGACCCAGTGGAGACCCAGTGGACGATCCAGAAGAAGATAGTCCGATATATCGTAGGAATAGAGATCCAGATCGGTCCGTCGGCCGAGATCGAGAGACAACCACAGGGGTGCCGAACACCAGGGTGAACACCAGCCGGCAGACTCGGTGTGTCCCAGCCGGTGTTCGATGAGAACCGAACAAGATTTGGTGCATACCCAGCGTACGTGAGAAGGTCCTCGGGCAGGAGGACGGGGCGCCGAAGAGATCGTCCTCGACGACGACGATCACCACGACGACGATGCTCCGGTCGCCGGCCCGCGTCGTTCTCCAGGACTCCTCTTCCGCCTCGACGTCCTCGACCCTGTCGGCGCCGCCGACGCCGGTCCACCACGGCGCCGGTTCTGCCGCCTCCTCGCGTCTTTCCCTCCTCGACACCTGCCACAGGAAGATCAGGTTCTTCGGCGAGCTTGTCGCGTGAGTCCCACACACCGTCTCTATCTCTCTGTCTCTCTTTCTCTCTAACTCTCTCTCTCTCTCTCTCTCTCTCTCTCTCTCTCTCTCTCTCTCTCTCTCTAACTTCTCCTAATGTCTAGATATTTTTCACGTATCTGGCAGTGGGACCACCCCGACTGTCCGACCTCCATCATTAACTCTTCAGGGATGACAACTCTGTACCGATCCTCGCCAATGGCTTTCGAAATTGATCATGTTGATCTGTTGCAGTGATCGGAACTTTCTTGATCGGAGCAATTGCTAGGGAAGGTCGGTCATCCGACATTTCGGGTTGGGTCGGGAATTTTTCTCGGGCGCGGGTCGAATCCCGAAAGTTTGCGATACTCGGGTACCCGAACATTTCGTGGTGAAAGTGTTCGAACAAGTTATTAATGTTAATAAAATGCCTTCTAGATCGAAGCAAGATTCGATTCTTCGATCATTGACACTAAATCTACCAGCGTTAAAAGTAACTGGAGCGATTTTTCTTGTAAAAATGGCACGATTGAATTTATTTAGATTTCGTGGAATGTTTATTGCAAAATGTGCTTGAATAGAGTTACATTGCCACGTCATTTTTCGTAGAAACATCGTTGTAATTTCAATAATCGTTAATTAATAAATATGAAATGGGTCATTTAACCGATACTGGCAGACTTAGTGTCAAAATTTAGGCGAAGAAGTACAGGAACGTACTGCAAAGGATTAAACAGACGATTGTATTTAAATACAGGATAAATCCTCATAAAATAATTTTATATTTATTAATTCTTTGCAATCGAAATCATTTTAACTCTGAATTCAAAATATTTTTTCTAATTTACAGTATCTCCATTTTGCATAGCCGGAAAAACTATCGATGGTGTAAAATCGCCGCAAATTATGCGAGTACATTGTCATCCTTGAAGGGTTAATCAGCTATCCTAAGATGCTGTCTAATCGAGCGAAGACTGCAATGCGATCGAGTCAGGTTTGAAAGTCCTGAAAAACTTGCGATCGAGTATCGTTGTCCAAAATCTGAGTTCGCGTTTATCTCGCGGTCCCATCTCGCATCTATCGGGGAGAAGTTCTCGCAAAATACAAAGAAGGTGAAGAAGAGTATCCCTAACCGATGCAAAACGTCGAACACGTGGTGTGTTAATTGATACATTTGCGAAAAGAATTTGAAGCGTGACACTGTGGATTGGCACTTATACAGCACTCCTGTATCGTGCAAAAGTCGGACAGTTGGGGGGTAGGGGTTCGCTTGCGAGGGTGGCTGGTGTGCTGCGATGTTGCGTTGGGTGCACAGGGTGTCCTCCAGCGGAATAGTTGCACCAGGGAAGTCCGACGTTAATCGGTCTTGAATCTACCTGGCTGATCTTCGTTCCCTCCCTCTGTCTTTGGCAAAGTCGAGCGTCCGAGTCAGAGCCGCCCCTAGAGATCGCGGGGCCTGGAGCAAACCCGGTCCTGACGAAAACACATTTTGTACCTAGTATGAAAACTGTCTAATTAAAAACAGACAGCCTCTGTAGCAGAATGCAACGATTATACGATATTCCGTCTATCTTGATACATATATTATAATTAGACTGCGGATCTTTACGCAAATTCGTATTTTCATGCGTGATTTTACAAAAATCAGAATTAAAGAGACATAAAAATGTTGCCGGACCTTGTTAATTTATCGATTCTCCCGAATTAAAATCAAATCTACATACGCCGTAAATGCGCAAAGACCCGTGGTCTAATTGTAATCAGACGAATATAAAGTTTTATTCAAATAAGAATTCAGTCGAGTAAGAATTCATTCGTACAGGAATTCGTACGTAAACTAATTGATCCGAATAAAAATGATAGAATGTAAAGTGTTTCTTCATAGTTCGCCGAGATTTATTTCTTATTTCGAATAATTCGAGAAATTCTGAATTCGAACAAAGAACCATTGGAATAAATAGAATAATTTGTGACGAATAATTCATTGTTCGAATAGAATAATATAGTAATTCGATTCGGATCATTATCGTCGACAAATATTTCTTCGAAACGATCCGAATAATGCCCAACTCCGGTGCTAAGGGCGGTTTTGGTCCGAGTCTTTCTAGAGGAACGCAGGGGCGAGTATAATCGATGGATGTTGGGTGAGTGTGGAAGAGCGTAAGAGCCTGCGAAGAATGCAAGAGCAGGTGGAAAAGAAGCGTACAAAGAACAGGGAACGAAGGAAGAGAATAAAGCTGAAAACCGTAAAATTGCTCTTAGACTCTAGCCGACGAAGGGTCCAGGTTGTTGGACATCCCTGGAGCAATCGAATCTTTTTCTGCGGAAACGTCGAAGCTGCGACTCCCGTTTCTCCTCCTATCGGATCTCGAAGATCGGAAATTTTACAGCGGTCGCGATTCGGCGAATCGACTGGAATTCCTTCCTATGGAAGACACCTTGTATACGTTGATATTACGTACCTACTATGCCGCAGTTGGCTGGAAACTGATAACGCAATCGGACGATGCACGTCGTACGTTCCGAATTTAATCCCGAAGAAACATTTAGATGTAAACCGTTGCGCCGGTGCACGACGGTGCACTGTTCAGGAAATTATGGCGTTCGTATTTCGGGAGATGACATTGACGTTCAATTTTCGAGAAGATCTATTTCGTTCTTGGCATCCGAACCGACGTTGTTAAATTGTTAAGTTAATTTATATATTTCAGCAAGCGGAACTGCAAATATATTTATGCGCGAGAACTGCAAATATATTTATGCTGCAATTATTGCAAATACATTTACCGACAAAAGTTAAGGGACTGTACGTTTCGTTAACATTTGAGTAAAATTCGATGTTTCTACAGATACATATACATATGTCTTATTCAATGAAAGTTCCATATTATGGAGAAACATACATATAATACGTTATTTATATTACAATATTGTTTTATTTAGTATTTATTTTTGGCAATTTTTGGTGGCATTTTGGCCATTTTTGGTCGATTTTTCGAAGTTTCCGATCTGTTTTTGGATTTTCATTAAATATTTATTGATTAAATATTTATATATATTTAAATAATTTTAAAACATGTAAGTTAATTATATTTATTAATAATGGCAAGATTTACAAATTTATATTACTTCTTTGAAGTAGCATTGTTAATTAATATATAAATAAACAAGGACATTTATAAAATATTAATTATCTATATGATGGATCCATTTAAATATATCTATGAGGACAGAAGATATTTTTACATTTATATTGTTTTATTCAGATGAAAAACATAATTGAAAAAATAAAAGAATGAAATAGAAATAAGAAATTAAAAAAATATAGAAAGATAAAATAACAATATGAAACTAAAAAGATGAAAAGATGAAATAACAATAAAAGATTAAAAGAATAAAAATAAAAAAATACAAATAAGAAATTAAAGAATAGAAAAATGAAATTAATATTTTCGTTGACACGATACAAATTTTTATCCCATGTTAAGGTTTACTGTACCCAACTTTTGTCGGTAAGTGTAAGTACCTCTGCAAGAAAATTGCAATTAAAAGGAAAACAGCGCGCAGAGATTAACGTTAAATCGAAGTTCCGGACACTTGCGGTTGCATTGTCTTTTCCAGGCGGCACGGTAAAGCGTCTCTCTGTCTGTCTACTTGGTGTATTGCGGCTGAAAGTCATCAGTTCTGTTTTTGCATGGCATCGCTCACTGATCACGCATAGAGAAACGGAGTTTTCGATTGTTTGACGCTTCCCCCCGTCGGATCTGGGTATCGCTCTACTTTCTTGCTTGATAAGGGAACACACCCCCTCTGTCGATGAGAAACGAAAGCGAGACTCGAAAAAGCATACAATGCGAATTAGTGAACGAAACCGAGACACTCTGTTACGAGACGATTACGAGAAATTGGGAAACGATCGAAGCTCATCTTCCCCAAGGAACTGCAATTTATTATTATTATTTTAATAATAATAATATTATAATTTATTATAATATTATTGTTATATAATATAATAATATTATAATTTATTATAATATTATTATTATATAATATAATAATATTATAATATTATTATTATATAATATAATAATATTATAATATTATTATTATATAATATAATAATATTATAATATTATTATTATATAATATAATAATATTATAATTTATTATTATATAATATAATAATATTATAATTTATTATAATATTATTATTACATAATATAATAATATTATAATTTATTATAATATTATTATTATTTAATATAAATATTATTATTATATAATATAATAATATTAT